TATATATATATATATATATATATATATATATATATATGTGTGTGTGTGTGTGTGTGTGTGTGTGTGTGTGTGTGTGTGTGTGTGTGTGTGTGTAAGCAATTTCGTTCAACCGGGAAACTATAAGAGGTATATTATTATACGAGTTATTCTACAATTACACCAGAGACAGGTGTTTGTTATTGGTAAACAATCTGGCTTCTACAACAGCTTATCAAAAACAAAGTTTTCTTTCATCGGAAATGACGTGAAAAAAATCAATTTCCTTGAAGCTATCTAGCTTACTGAACACTAGAGAGGTGGAATGATTGACGTCATCGGGAGAATACAGATGTAACTCTTGGGATGTCATAGTTCCTGCTAAGAACAAGAGCTTTATTGTCATGCTATATCTTGGTCCTGTAAACAAGCTCTGTGTTTATTTCTCTTCAAATATGCAACAAGGGCTATCAGTATGATAAAGTTCTTACTTAAATTTTACGAAGTTTTAAAGAGAGAACAGTTGATAGTATTGATTCACGCGCTAATAACTTGATAAATGAAAATATCAGAGTTCATGCAGTAATCTCTAATTCAATACAATGTTGTGCGTCATTATTGCATACTATACCTTCGATCAGTTTCACATTGTCCTCATTTTTATCAGTTATGTTTTAATTTATTCTAAATATCACATAACACAGTTGTATGGCTGTAAATGTCAATGGTACATTATAGTATTTGAATATATGAATATTTCTGAACATTTTAATTAGTGTTTCTAGTAAATAATGTTCTTGTTGAATTTAATTAATTTTTCAATAATCAAATTCACTGTTTATAATAGACCAAAAATTATAGTTTTCCAATGTTTCTCTTTACAGTTGGTTTTGGAGACTAACAAGTTATATCGGTTGCATCATTTAAGTTGAGTTAGTGCTATAAACTTTGGATATTGTTGTTTTTTTTCATTGGTCTACGATGTATTTAAATAATGAGCCTATACATCATCTGTATATTGAGACTATTCACTATCTGTGTATTTATACTATGTAATTTAGTTGCTCTTCCTTGTAGCATTGGTTGTTATTTTCATACAGATATTGAAAGTGAATAAAGGTAATGAAACTATCTTTTTTTATTACTTAATGAAAATAGATAAGTATGACAATAGACAAAAAAAACTGTACGTGTAATTTTATGTTATTTATAGTAACAGCTCATAAAAATATCAGTTTTCGACTTTCTAATAATACCAACAAACTGAACTAGTCATTCATACATACACTAAGATACAATCCTTTTTTAAATAATATCAATTTTTTGCTGTTTAAAAACACGCTTCTGAGTAAAATGTTCTTAATATTAAACACAAGTGCTTTTAAGAGTAAATAACTGTATCTTACCTGATAAAGTTTGATGATATTAGGATGAGAAAGTTGTTTCATAATTTGAACTTCACGGTAAACTTTTTCCAAGTTTACTTTATCCAGCTGAGTTTTGTCTATAATCTTAATAGCCACCTGGTTAAGTAAAAGAGGAAAACTAATTATAGTCTGGTAAGACAAACACGTACAAACATGAAGTAAATACAACTATAATGACGTGAATATATATATACATATATATGAAGCTGCTTTATTATTTGGAATACTTTTGGAACATGGCAAAACTGTTTTAGTCTTTAAGTGTGTAAAATATGAATTCAATTTTCTAGCCAAATAATTCTTATCTTTCAAAAGATATGTTAATATATCGCGTGTTTAAGCATACTTAAATGGAATTTGATCAATGCCTGACATTTTCTATCCAGGCATTAGGTATATTCAGCTTAAAGATTTCCACGTGGGGCAAATTGGCAAAATTAGACATACTTTTAGGGCACGCATGAAAATATTGTATATAGTTAGAATTACATTAACAATCTATTTCAACGCTTATCACCCAAATCAGCATATGTTTCAGAAGGAAAAACAAATTTACGTTCACGATACAGATATAGAGAAAACCTACGAATCATGTACTTATTACTTACGTACACGTACATTTCATGTTCGTGAACATATTAAGCTTCTGGTGCGTATGTTTGTGTGCGTCAGTGATGAAGAAATCAGCTAAGTATGAGTATTCGAGTCTATTTCTATTTCTAGCATATAACTGAAGCTATTTCAAGTCTAAAAACTTCTTGATTTGCATATATGGAACGTGCATATAAATCCTTCCGGTAAAAGAAACATCCCCAGTACATATACAATTCCTAAATTACCACACGCAGGAACGAGATACATAAACATACATTCTCTTTATATTAATAATGGTTCAGTTAAGTGTTTAGGAAAACAATATGAATAAACTGTATATATTAAATTAGCACACGTAGATTGATGGCTATGATACGAAAATGTAACAAGAGATAAGAATTAATAAGGGCTGTACTAACATCCTGTGCCATGTTAATAATATAAATAGAGAGAATAAAAACAGCATAAAGTACAGAAGGTTATATGGTGATTACATCGTCAAACCCCAAAACGATCTCACGGTATTATGCACTGGTGCAGACAAGTTCGGAATTGTATTACTACACAAATTGTCCGGATAGCAACCATTCACGGGTACAACTACGTCACACAAAGAAGTTCAGCAAAATTCGTTAGTCTTTACAATCTTTCGATAATTTGTGTACGATTCAACAAAGATTACTGCAAACAGACCATTTCAAAAAGACAGGTTGAATTACATTTTGTGAGGGATAAGCCAGTTGTTACCTCAGTTTACGTAAGAAAATATTTATTTGGTGTCTAATAAAGCAATGACCTAACATTAATTTAATTTTACTTTGATGAGAGTCAACTTCCTTTCATGGTTGTAAAAAGTTTTTGTTGTTGTTTGTTTTCTGCGCAAAGCTACACAATAGGCTATCTTCGCTCTGTTTATCACACGGAATCAAACTCCAGATTCTAGCGTTGTAAGTCGGAAGGCGTACCGTTGACCTACCGAAATACGTAATAGTAATAAGGATGTTTCAGGACATTTCCTGCACTAATTACAAGAACCAATTCCCTGTTTTAAAAGTTTTACGATAGAAAATCATATTCGATTAGAAAAGTAATTATTAATTATCCATAGCAATGCTATTCCTTTCCAAGATTTCGCGATTTGTTATACATATTTTTTTACGAGGCTTAGTGATTTCATCTTACTCGGGATCCTCTTACTTTGTGTTAGAGACTATGTGGAAGAGTTTTGGCTTTGTTAACTATGTTGGCAAACTTCCAAAAATCTATACATAATTAAAATCATAAAACAACCTACTGATGGGAGAATCGATTAATGAGCAAGCGTTAATATAAAATGTTATTTCGATTCGAATTTGTTTGCAAGTATGATTGGTATTCTCAACAGGAAAATATTACGTCTTCGAAATATAAGATTACGAAAGATAATTTATAATTTGTTTGTTTTGAAGTTAAGCACAAAGCTACGCAATGGGCAGTCTGTGCTCTGCCCACCACAGGTATCGAAATCCGCAGACATTTCGCTGTGTCACTGGGGGGTGGGGGAGGGCAGGTTACGAAAGGCTTAATTGCCTTATTTAAGACAACCAGATTTTCTGACTGTCGAGGCAGGTGTGAGAAAATTCAACCTCCTGAGCTAAAGACAGCTGAATTTACTCTATACCACACTTGGAGAACGTATCAAAGTCATTGTGTGATATCAAACGTATACAATTCTAGCCGAAAATGTTAAGGGCGAGAGTACTCAACTGATTAGATAATGTATTCTAGTCTTTATAAGTAAGAGAAGTATATTTTGTTAACTATACTCGTTACCAGGTTGATTTGTTACTTCTCTCAAAGTAATTATATTCTCGTATAATTACTCAAGGGGAGATTAAATCCCACCTAATATTAATTTGCACAAACTTATTCGCCACCATTTCACTTGGATATGGTCTAAACCTCAAAAGTAGACGATACAGTAGCCTGGCTAAGAAAGATAACCTCTCCGGTATGATCCTGTATCATGTAATCTAAGCCTTAGACGAAGATTAAAGAATCTTCATACATACTCACGCTCTGTTCACGAGATCATAATTAACGGCATATAATTCTCTAGTTATATAACGGTAAAATCTGGCAATTTTTGACTGCTACCCTTCACCCTTCCCAATTCTGAGCATTCCTAAGCCTAAAACTTAAGAAATCATTTCATACTTCAAATTCTAAGTCTAACTAACGTAGTCGTAGTTTCAATTCATTATCTGCATATGAACAACAAAAGAAGCTTTATTTAAAAAAAGACTCCAAAGCTATTAAACTAGATAGAATAATACTTTAAATAATACAAAACAAAAATATACACGAGACAGTCAATGTAAAATAAATACAATTGAAAAAATTCAGCATAAATGAATTTAAAAATGATGTTTGTTTGTTATGAATTTCGCGCAAAGTTCCAAGAGTGCTATCTGCGCTAGCCGTCCATAATTTAGCAGTGTAAGACTAGAGGAAAGGCAGCTAGCCAACTCTTGGGCTACCATTTTACCAACGAATAGTGGGATTGATCGTCACGGTATAACGCCCCCATGGCTGAAAGGGTGAGCATGTTTGGTGTGACGGGGATTCGAACCCGCGACCCGCAGATTGCGAGTCGAGTGCCCTAACCACCTGGCCATGCCGTTAGCCACTGCAGCTGGTGGTGTTATGGTTGTTATTGGTGAAAGTTGGGCTAGTCAACCAATTCTAGTTGTTTAGAGAGGTTTGTACCAGTTGTTGGCATCGTGACTCATCATTGCCATCCTATGTACAAGAGTCAATCAAAATATGTTAACATTTGTACAAACATTTGCATCACCCCCCTCATTTGGGTATGACTCACACCCCAGGAAAGAGAAGATACATCGTTAAGACAAACGAATATTTGCCCTGTTGAATGACTAGTGTGACATTGATTGAAGAATATTTGCGACTACTCATATCCTGTTCCTGCGCATAATGGTTTGAAAAAACATTCTCCAATAAAGTTAGATAAACATATGTTCTTCTCTAGATAAAAAAGGTTAGTACACTTGGAAGTAAATTAGTGCTGATAAGAACAAAATCCTGATTTATTTGTTTTTTGTACTTCTTAATTTTTATGACGTAGTTATATTATAAAGTTGATTTTCATGTCATATACTATATACCTATATAGGTATCAAAGTCTTAATTATTTTATATTGTTATGTTTAAATTTAAATGAATCAGTAGTAATCTAACAATAGTAGGGCGTCACGAAAACTAATATTTAAATTTTTTATTGAACAAAATTGCACATCAATCGCATATATAATTGGCAAATTAAAACTAGCTTATTGGGGGTAATTTTCGAAATTCATTACACTTAGCAAACTCCATATTCATTCTAAAATTTACGCTCACTCAATTTACCCTTTATACTAAAAGGTATATCATGAAAGAAACGTAAACATGTGGATGTCCTACAAGTTTACGTATCGATATTAACTGTCCAATCAGTTTTTGTTGATACTTTCTGAGGGAACGTATGTTGTAAGTCTTGATCCATGTCGTATTTCAATACACTATAGGTAAGAGTTAGACCATTGTATAAATTATAATCTTGAATAGTCATTGAATAAGCTGGTGCACAAAAACGTTATTCAAACCATTTCTAAACGATATGTTGTTTATGGTGACTTGTATGTCATTTCCAGCTGTTTTCGGACCAGTGGGTATATTCCTTGGATAAACTAATGTAACTTTGAAAAACTGACAGAAGAAAATCGATTTCCTGAATACTTAACATTATCTGAATAACTGATAAGTCGTTGTTAGCAACGAGGTTACACAATCAGTATTTTAAAATTATCTTGTAGCAACTGAAGCTTTTGGAATCTTTGCAGTTAAATAGGACTCGTAATGATAGTAAAAAGTACGCACGTAATCATCATTAACCCTTAATACGTTTTTCATCTTCGCACCTCGTACTTGAAAGAGCCACAATGTTCAATAACTTATCAGTTTGTAAAGGCAATTTATGCGTTTTATTTATAGAAGTTCTTACAATACTAATACGTTTTCGAAATAATAAACAACAACGAATTACAAGTCCGACAAAGAACATCAAATGACATTTTATAGTTTCATCCACTTCTCTATCTTCTTTCGCTTCTCTGCTTAGTCCAGTACAGTTGGTTTTCTTCCGACCCATATCTATATTAACTAATTTAAACTGAAAGATTTGTTTGTTTGTTTGAAGTTAAGTACAAAGCTACAAAAAAGGGCTATCTGTGCTCTGCCCACCACGGGTACTGAAACCAGATTTCTAGAGTTGTAAGTCCGCAGACATACCGCTGAGCCACTGGGGGGTGCAACTAAAAGAATATTTGATAATATAAAGTGAAATATCGTCAGCTATGGAAAGGTTTCCTGAAAAATCAATATTTTTGTTACGATTTTAGAAACTTAAGCACACGACCCACGCGAAGTCTCCTTAAGTGGTTCAGTCATGCAGGTTGATAAAAAAAAATCCCCTTAAATATGAGAGCACAGATTCCTATACATCATGTACACGTTGATATGAATGCTTAAGGAAATGCATGGCCAGTGTTTAAGTTAAGTTTTAAGTGAAGAGTTCTAGAATAAACTTAGGCACTCGTAATATTTTATCATTTTACTGTTTCTATACATTTCTAACTGATCTGCTGCTGTTTGTTATGAATTTCGCGCAAAGCTACACGAGGGCTATCTGCGTTAGCCGTCCCTAATTTAGCAGTGTAAGACTAGAGGGAAGGCAGCTAGTCATCACCACCCACCGCCAACTCTTGGGCTACTCTTTTACCAACGAATAGTGGGATTGACCATTACATTATAAAGGCTGAAAGGGCGAGCATGTTTGAGCTGACGGGGATTCGAACCCAGATTGCGAGTCGAGCGCTTTAACCACCTGGCCATGCCGGGGCCCGATCAGCTGCTGTTAGCTGGGGAATGAAATTATTCATTCGCGTGTATTATGATATTTTTTATGTTACACACATAATTAAGTGCATTTGAAGGAACAAATACAGCACGTGATGACGAATCGCAGAGTTAATTTATAACAAAGTAAATTTGCATAAGCACTTTGCAGACTTAGATAAATGAATCTTGCTTATTTTAAAACGAACATATATTTCAAGTACTATTCCCACTACGAGTTTTATAACTGAAATAACCAATTCTCCCAATCCTAAAGCTTAAGAAATTTTAGGCTGACATTTATTGAAAATATTTCAAACTATACTAATTTTGCGGAAGATTAAATTTCTTGTACTATAGAAAATCGGAAATAGGAAGATAATTGGATCCGCTACATACTGCAAGTAAAAGTCAACGTAAGGATTCAATGATAATTAACACCAATTTTAGCAAATGGCCATGTGTAATTATGATCTTACATTACACGTAACACATACTTCAACTGAAAGTGTACAAGATCATTTACATACAACACCATAAATACTTTATCAGTTAAGAGTAGGATATAATGAACCCTGTGCTATAAAAACAATTGACATCGAATTTATAGCATTCATTTGTAAAAGAATAGCCCAAGAGTTGGCGTTGAGTTGTGTTGACTAGCTGCCTTCCCTCTAGTCTATCAAAATAAATAAAATGGCGGACGTTTACATTTTGGTCGTTGGGGGTTCTGTTGTATAAAAATGCCCCCCACCCCAGGGATAAGTTCACGAACTTAAAACGATAAAATCCGGAGTTCAATTCCCCGCAGTGGACACAGCAGATAGCCCAATGTGGTTTTGCTGTAATACCAACAACAACAACAACAAATATACAAAATATATTCTTGTATATGTATAAATAAGATGATTTCAAAAGTTATTTTAGTATGTTTGACTGGTCTTTCAATAATATAATTTGGTATATATTACAATTCTACAGAATATTTTAACATTTTACAGTATTATTTCCAAAATATAATTATTCACTACTGAAAAAATTAAAAGTAACGTCGGAATTGCTTCATCCTTCATAGCAATGCAAAATCCCCAATTTTGATTATTAAGCTAGTTTGTGTAGGTTTCTTGACCTTCGTACTTTTAACCCTCCTCGATTGGAATTATGACAAATTATAAAAAATAGTCCTTCCTTTTTACTTTTTACCTGTTACTTTTTTTGTTTTCGTTTCAAGAAATAATTTCGTAAAAAAGCGAAAATATTCAACCAGAAATTAAATTCATTTATACTTAGAATTGCTATCCATGCTAAAATGGCGTTTCTTTTACATAATCTTCTTTACATATTATTATTTTTTTACACGACACCTATTCCGAACAAATTGTAGACGTCCGCCATTATGTTTCTGTGCATTTCAAAGAGATACTACTTAAATACTAACTTTGAAATTTACTTTTAGTCAAGGATCTATCCGTAACTCATTTGATTAATTAATTAATTAACAAGAGATTCAACTTTAAAAAAAAATTAAATCACTATCCAGATTCTCCATCTCTGCATCGTTTGAAGTTAAGAGATACATTTTTAAAATGCGCAAAATATGAACAAAAGTAATTGCAAAATTTAAATAATAAATTTTTATTAGGCATTTGAAACAAAATGTTGTTAAATTGTCATTTCGAAGTAAATAAAATGAACACATTAATTCATTTAACGCTATTTCATCATCTTGTTATTTCATTTATATGAATGTAAGTTATGTAACGCAACAGCTGTTACTAGGTTGTCCAATGTTTTGATTAATACATTGTAGTAGGTCATTGTCGTAGGTTATTATAGAAATAGTATCTTTTATTAATTGCATTTTCTTTGTATCTAAATATCTGTCCAGTCGGGTTGATGTTGTTATTGTTTTTATTAGTGTGAAACGATAAGGCATTACCTTCGGTATAATTTTCATACACGTCTTGTATGATTCATAAAGATATAAAATTTTACGTTTAGCGTCCAGTACAAATTATGTACAGCTTGTGCGTGGTGCACTATACCCATGGTAAGCAAGTAATTAATCAAAAGGCAGAAACAGAACTGTGGAGTCGAACAGAAAAAGTTTGTTTGTTTGTTTTGAACTTCGCGCAAATCTACACGAGGGCTATCTACGCTAGCCGTCCCTAATTTAGCAGTGTAAGACTAGAGGGAAGGCAGCTAGTCATCACCACCCACCGCCAACTTTTGGGCTACTCTTTTAACAACGAATATTGGGATTGATCGTCACATTATAACGCCCCCACGACTGAAAGGCGAGCATGTTTGGTGCGACGGAGATTCGAACTCACGACCCGCAGATTGCGAGTCGAGCGCCCTAACCACCTGGCCATGCCGAGCCCTAACAGAAAAAAAGAGCAAATATGTGTTACACACACTGAATTCATATTAAGTCTAATTAGGCCCTGGTCCTGAGATGATGAGTTCTTTTTAAAGAAACCGAAGCTTTTCGTCGTTCGTGGCTAACACTGTCGCACCCGACTTCTTTGGAATGCTGTAAGATAAATACATTTACACAAGATTTACATAAATACAGTCCAATGAATAAGCAAATTACTAAGCGTTTCGCGAAAGGTGGATAGGATGTGTATCCTCGTAGTGGATAAATGTGTTCCTGCACTGCAGTCCCTTGATAAAAGCATATAACCCAAATGTTGGGAAATAAAGGTTCATTTCACCTGAAGTCAAAAGTCAGCTAATTACTCAAGCTTTAAAAAAATACATCAGTTCCCACTATAGCAGTTACATACTAGAAACGCATTGCTTTAGCTTAATTTAAATAGTAAAAACATTAAGCATCTCAAAACAAATATATATGATGCTTTGGTCGTCCTCTATTCATCTCACGATATACAGTTTTTAACACCTATAAAAAATAAGGATCGAGTGGCTTAACTAATTGACAAATGGAGAATCCAGTAATAGGCCGAACCTCAGCGTTCTTCCTCGCAGAAATTCATAACTGTGATACTGAGACGAAAAAACTTTATATTTCAAAATCTTTTCGTCTCAGTATCACAGTTTAAAATATAAAGTTTTTTCGTCTCAGTATCACACCTTATATTTTAAACTGTGATACTGAGACGAAAAAACTTTATATTTTAAACTGTGATACTGAGACGAAAAAACTTTATATTTCAAACTGTGATACTGAGACGAAAAAACTTTATATTTTAAACTGCGATACTGAGACGAAAAAACTTTATATTTCAAACTGTGATACTGAGACGAAAAACTTTATATTTTAAACTGTGATACTGAGACGAAAAACTTTATATTTTAAACTGTAATACTGAAACGAAAAAACTTTTTCAAAGCCCGGTTTTCGAAGACTTTACTTGAATTCATAAAGTCTAAAAAGCAACTACTTGATCTTTTGTTTATTTGCTATTTAACAGCAACACTATACAAACTTAAAGAGTATGAACGCTTTAAGCCAGTTTATTTGTTTTAGCACAAATCTACACTCTGTGCACCACGGGAAATTATATCCCGGATTTTAGCGTGGTAAGTCCATAAGTCTTCTGCTAGACATCAATAATTAAACACTAACAAAATGAAATAGTAACGTACAAGCGTTACGTTATACCAAGAGATAAAAGTGGCTAGAATCATTGTGTTCTTCTGTCATATACTTATATTTTCTCCTGAGTTGAGTCTAATTTAATTCAGCAATTAGTGATACTTCGCTAAATATAAGGCTAAATCACCTGATCTGTATACTTAGATACAGAATACCAGCATATATAATGTTACACTGTAACCATAAATACTACCTTCCATGATATTATAAAAGTCACGCAACCCAGTAATCAGACCGTATCCTAAAGTATCGTGCTATTCCTATAAATTTATCCTATGAGTGTTGCAACAAATCTTCAAAATTTCTAACCACTGAACGTACTATAAAATATATTACACAGAGGTTAAATAAACTATAATAATGCGATTTTTCAGCCTCACCACGTCGTTATAGCCCATGTCGTCACGTCTTGTCATGCTCTATCCGATGACTTTACATCTCGACAATACTCCAATAGAGAAGTTTCCATTGCAAAAAAAAGAATCTATCATCAAGACTATTATGTCTAAAACTCACCATTCTTCCCTGCATACTTTACATGATCCATCTAATGTACGAGGACGACGGTATCCTATCACCAGTTTCAACAGTTCTATGGCACAGATATCAATAGATGCTTTCGTATGGAATATATTGTGAATGACCATTTCATTCTCCAGATGCTAGAGGTTGCGACGGTTGAACAGATACACCGTGGAAGCAACCTTTGTACACGTGACTTGTGTTGCTTTTCCAGACTGAGATCCTTCTTAATTACGTTGTATAGCTGTCGTGAAAAAAGACGACCACGTGTTTTCGTAGATTCTCACCTTCTACAAGACGCTACACTTTACTTATCATGACTGGGGTACAACTTCCTTCAAGGCTCTATCTGGATGGTTCTGGTACCCCTAGTTGATCAACATTTCTTTGGTTTTCGAAGCCATTAAATACATGGCATATCCCCGTCTGGAAAATTGTAAATCCGATCTGAACACATCTCTATCATTTTTCACCGGAAAGGGCTGTTACATACCGTTTCTAAATGCTGTATATTTTTGGTGACATCACACGACCTACGAAACGTCAAACAATGTCAAAACGTAGTTTGATAAATATCATTGCACCGCAACTTTACTTAAGCTGTGCTTGACATGTTCACAACCATTTAAAGATAACGCACTCAACCCTCTGTACATAAGACTATGCCATTTCAGACTTTATTTACTATTAATTAAACCAATTCTTGTAACATTATTCGAAATATGCAAAACATATTCACCCAAATACACAAAAATGTTATTTAATACACATTTTGAGCACTGAAGACACTATTAAAACTACTTTCTACAACACAAGTCCACCAAACGCATGAAAGTACTTGTAGAAATATTTCTAGGGACTAATGTAAAATCGGAAACATTTTCAAAAGAAAACAATAAAAACTTCGTGTATTGTTTGTTTGTAATCAAGCACAAAGCTACACAATGGGCTATCTGTGCTCTGCCCACAACGAGTATCGAAACCCGGATTCTAGCGTTGTAAGTCCGCAGACATACCGCTGTGCCACTGGGGGGGGCAACTTCTGTATTAACAATTATTACATTTTAAACATTTTGATTGTTTTCAAACACATCGACGCAACGATAATAATCCTATTTTTAAGCAAATAATCGAATGATTAAACCGGATTTTTACAATGATGCATTAATCAAAATCTTACATGTTTTCAACCAAGTAAGATATGGTAAAATATGTTTCAGTTGTGTTACGTGAACTACAGTATCAAAGAATACGAGTTTTTAAGAGCCCGATAACAAAACCATGTGAAAGGAAAACGTGAAATTAAATTTAGTTATAATAATCTAACATGGTACGGTAAATTTTAATGTATCCTATTTTATGGTTCGCTAAGGAAACATTAACTTTAAACTCTAAAGGCGTTTGCAAGTTTCATGTAGTTTCGCCAGCCTTAAGTTTGAGAAGTATTCTCTTTTCCAAATGTATATATTTTAGACGAGTTATTTGAATTATTTTATCGTGTTTATTTTGTTTTTCCTTTCCGTTCATGCATAATAATCATCACATGATTTCTTAGTCATATGGAAACATATAACACTACATAAAAGTTACCCATGAAGTATATGCCTGCTGTATCTCCATTCAATAACAATGGTTCCTTCCATCAAGATTCACACAGGCTTGGACGTCTATAGCAGAGAACTCATTTGGTTGTGATCCAATAGCCTTATTTTAGTTATATTACTCAAGTTCGTACATCTGATATTCCTGGGAATAGTTCTGGTTCAATTCCAATATCCCAAGTATTTTATTTTCTTTAGAATGCCAAATCTAATTCTCGAATGTTTTTCGAGTTCTATTGCTTCATTCTCTGCTTGTTTTGTCCGGGAAGTAAATTAAATGATTTGACAAGTTATTTTTATTCACTGCGAGGTCAAAGGCCCCCATCATGATTCACAGAGACCCGAATATTCCGACCAAGCTCCTCCATTATCCAAATTACTTCTATAGCTACCCCCAGTCGGGTTTGTACCCGAAGAAAACGCTAATACACCCACACATGGTATCTGGGCATGTGTGCCAAGTTTGAACACAACTTAAAACTTGACGTCCTGGAATCCTGAAAGAGCCAGAAATACAGTGATCGAGAAAACCTATTTCTAGACCCCCAACGTGCTTGGGTGATTATTCGGGATCATTTTAGCCCCCCTGGTAGTGTTAGTAGGCTGCTACGCCATATAGATAAGGATATAACGCCGGCCGGCCCAAGTCAAATTTGATCCAGCTAATAACAAGCAAACAAACACAAAATCTAAATTAATTCAGGATTTTGGGATGACAGTGCTACTCTCTTAAACAGAAGCTTTCATTTTTGTAGTTTGGCCAATGTTCACCATAAATGTTTGCGATTCATATTGGATTTTGATCTGATGTACGCCATACATTTATGGTTCATATTGGGTTTTGATACAAGTTTCTTACAACTTTTAGTTCATTCATTCACTTGCTCTATTTTATCCTTATAAAAATATGTTTTAAATGATGGAGATAATTTACCGTTTCGCTTAAATTTTATAGTGCTGTTAATTACATATCTAACTATTCAGATTATAAGCGATCGCGCTGTTCATCAAGGTTTATTCAAGTTTCACCTGTGTGACTCTTCGAAGACGGTGCTCGATAAATGAGGAGCAAGTTAGATAAAATTATCATTGGGCTTTTCGAGTACAAAGGTTGATAAGTTACTTAGCTTTGTAGAAACGGGTATTACACTGTTGACGATTTCAAAATATCACTCGAAACGAATTTTTGGTACGTTAACCAGGGATAAGACTTGTCTACTTTTTTTTTTCAAGTTAGATTAAGGGATCTGCAAATACTTTAGGCTTAGGTTTGAACTTCTTGGATAAAAAAAGGAGGAAAAGAGCAAGAATCCTGGAAGAATAAGAAATAACTCTAAACCAATTTCAAATCATAAAAAAATGTAAAATACTTTAAGCAATTCGTTTTCTCGCCCTTATCATCCTGTAGGCTGTGAATTTCAGTAGGCTGTTTTCACATTATGCAAATACAACCTGTTCGTTTTATGTTTGTTCTATATCCAGCAAGTACTTGTTTAACCCTGGCTTTTATATTTATGTCATAAGACATACTGTACAATAGTACATAATATTTCCATAATGATAACTTTTTTGAGTAACTGAACAGGTCTGGATGGTAACAAGTGAATGTTATAAGCTTATATTTGTTTGAAAACAGATAAATTATACAACGAAATTTGTTTTCTTCAAATACGAAACTTCTTCATCAGGCTATACGAAAATGTTGACATCAAAAATAAAAGACCCAACCTAATAGAAATTATATTTATGTATATATGCATACCTCAGACATACGTATTAATCTTTTATATCAGTGTTTATGTTTGCCCAAAGATACAATAGTACATCGTATTTCCATGATGAGAACTGCTTTTATTAAATGGAACAGCTCAAACAAAAAATGCTACTTACTTGTCCCAGACCCTCGTTGAAAAGAATGAATCACTTAATACAAAATAAAAATGGATAAAAAAGTTTTAGTGAAAAAACAACAACAACAGATAAATTATTAATTAAGATAACGTTTGACCAATTATCTGATGATATTAAACAAGAAAGATGCAAGACAATAAGATGTTTGATAATGTTTTTAGTTTGTATTTATTCAGCTAATTTTCATCATTTTATTGCAAGATACAGCAATTAATATAGACGTCATTTTTTCCGTAGCAATTAATAACTTTGTAAAGTATTGTTGCATCTTTATTTATAAAATGATACTTGATCTAACTAATCACAAAATGTAATAAATTAGGTAAATATCAAGAGATCAAATAACCGAGTTACTGACTGGGATTACATATGTAGGTTCTGGGATAATAAAAAAAATGGGCAGACACGTATCTTTCCTTCACTTTTGTAATACTTTTTTCAATTTTCCCTGGCTTTCCTTGAACTTTCAAAAATTTCCAAATTCATTACCCATGTAATTAAAGAGAAAAGACACAGCAGTGATGGTTATAGTTGTTCCCAGAAACAAAATATAACTCGCATAGCCCACACGAAGATCCCTCCCCCCACCTGATGCGGCGGTAAATCTAAAGGCTTGTAACGCTATAAACCATGTTTCGATACCCGTGGTGGGGACAACGAACAAATAATCATCCGAAGATCTTTTTACTGCCCGGCATGGCCAGGTGGATAAGGCGCTCGCCTCACAATCTAAGGGTCGCGGGTTCGAATCCGCATGCCACCGAACATGCTCGCCCTTTTAGCCGTGGGGGCGTTATAACGTGACGGTCAATCCCACTATTCGTTGGTAAAAGAGTAGCCCAAGAGTTGGCGGTGGGTGGTGATGACTAGCTGCCTTCCCTCTAGTCTTACACTGCTAAATTAGGGACGGCTAGCGCAGATAGCCCTCGTGTAGCTTTGCGCGAAATTCAAAAACAAACAATCTTTTTACTGAAACACAAAGGTCAGTTAGAAATTTGTCATTCCAATTTTTAAGTCTAAATTTTCTGTTAAAATGAAACTATTATCTGGTGTTTATATAACTGAAAAATGCCAGTTTTCATTATTATGAAACCGAAAATAGAGTTGTACATAATATTTATACAAATGAAGCCATTTAGTTTTTTTTATGATGGTAATTTACAATAAAACATGTTGTTGTTAGTAATTAGTGTTAATTCGGATAAATTACTAGACAATAGGTTTGTTTATAATTAAGCACAAAGCTACACAATAGGGCATCGGTGCTCTGCCCACCACGGGTATCGAAACCCGGATTCTAGCGTTGTAACTCCACAGACATACCGCTGTGCCACTGGGGGGGGGGGGCTAGACAATAGGAAGTACAGTAAAATACTTACCAGGCGACGAATGTTATTATTTGACAGTAAATAATTAGCCCCGAAACAGTCGTCTGTGTTACTTAATATGCAGTTAAAGCAACGTCTGTTGTTCGCTTCTCGAGAAAAAAAAAAACGACCAATACACTGTACCTAAAATTGATCGAACATATGTCATAAAAATAATAAAAAATAAACACCTTTTAAACAAAAATTCAACTATAATAGATGCCTATATCTCGATCTGTGCAGCTTGTACAAGGTGGAGTAAAGAATAGTAAAGCAGTTTGCTGCTTAAGACTTGTGTGTAATCTATAAACTACACATTATTTTTAGTTTAACGATAATAACATAAATGACATGGAATACTTTTGGATTAAATAAATAAATCTGCTTATTTTTACACTTTAACCTAAAGATCTACTATGACCACCTATTATGTTCAGGTAATTGTTTATAAATCTACTTTCTACATAATTTGTTGAAATCAAAATTTTCAACCCAATAAAGATGTTATTTGTCTCTACCTGCGAGATACCTCAGAAACTGGTAAATTACATTTAAAAAACGAGTACATAAATTCCTTCTGAATCATAGGAAGTACCTTTGTAAGAAAACATAGTATAAAAATCATGCGTCTGGTGACAGAATTGTATTAGATGG